ACTCTGCCATTGCCAGTCACTCTGATCCTGTTAGATTTCGAATCCAGCACCTCTGATGACACAGACTCCACAGCTGAGCATGATGGGCATTATGCTCAGCTGCTAAATGCAATCATGGCTCTCAGAGATGAAGTAGAGCATGCACATATCCTTGACAGACCTGAGATGCCAATGATGCAGGCATCTCAGCTGTGCCTCCTTGAACATTTTGCAGATCATCAGCCCCACCTGTTTTGAAAGTGCCTTCATGTAGACCCACCAATTTTTGATCACATTCTGGATCAGATTAGTGGACACATGATATTCCAATGCAATTCCAAAAACTGTCAGCTGGCAGTCACAGTCCAGTTGGCAATCTTCCTTTTCTGCACAGGGCATTATGGAAATGTGGCATCGCCTGAGGATGTAGCACAGTGGGCTGGTGTTAGTGTTGGCTCAGTTGTCAATTGTATGAAACATGTGATGGTAGCTATACTGGATGACCACAATAGATTCATCAATATTCTGTCTGAAGACTCACAGGAGATGGAAAGAGCATGGGTTTTCACTGAGTCATGCACCTGTTCAGCCTGGAGGAATGGTGTGTTCACTGCTGATGGTTTGAGTATTCCCCTCTTTGAGAAACCACATATCTTGGGGGAAACATTCTATGATAGAAAATCTAGGTACTTGTTGAACTGCCAGGTGTGTACTCAAATGCTGAGTGTGAACAGCAGAAGAAACTTACCAAGATAGCTTATTGTTTTTCCACACAATCTTCTTGTCATGGACTATGGACTTGGACATCTGGGAAGTGTCCATGATGTGTGGGCCTTCCAGGGGACTTGCATCACTTCAAACCCTATGCAGTTGATTCCACATGATCATTGGACATGGGTGAACAGTGCATACCCATCAGAGATGTGGTGTGTTGTCCCCTTCAAAAAACCTAAAGGTGGGAGATTATCTTGAGATCAGAATGTGTATAACAAGTACCTTTCAAAGGTACACACCTAGTTTTGCTGCAGTACATGGGCTGACAGCTTTGGAAGATCCACATACAAGTTGGACACGCATTTGCCACCTTGAAAGGGTGCGTTCAAAGCCTCTGTGAGGTGTGCCTGAAAATCTGGGCAGAGAAAGATATGAAAGTCATGATTTACTGGGTGCTTTGTTGCATCATCCTACACAACATGATCATGCGGTTTGAGGAGGAAATGGACAATACAATTGAGTGTTTAACTGACTGGGTGGTCAATGAAGGAAGCAGCCTTGATGATGGGGACAGAATTGCTGCAGTGGAGACTGTGGAGACTATTGGTCAGTGATTTCGAGCAAAGCTATTGGATCAGTTGTTTCAACATCTTGGACAGGAACAAACCCATTAATGGTGGTTGTGGGAGATGGTAGTATTAGCAAGATGAAAAAAATACATTCACCATATGTACATCTTGCAAGAGAATAGTGGAAACATGAATATGATGTGAGTACATAGTGGGAACCTGCCAGAGATGGATACAGTGGGGAAGTGTGGGTAAAAACTTGGCCATGACAAGATAAACATATGCAGCAGGAGGGGTTGCATCTGAATTGGCCTTCATAAGTTTTGCAAGCTCAATTTTGAGGCGAAGCATCTCTGCCTCACTGTTGAAGGTGATCTCCTGGGCCTTCATCAGCTGGATGTTGAGTTTCTTTGCCTCCAACTCCAATTCCATCTTAGTCACCATTTCTGCCTGCTCTTTCATCAATTCCTCCTTCCTATGAAGATATTCCATCTTGATCATATAGTGTTTAGTCTTCCCAGAAGAAGAAGAAGCCACTAGCAACTCAGCTTCATGACTCAAGTCGATGACCTGGTCTTGAAGCTGAGACTTGCCATGTTTAGTTAGCATTGAACTTGGCTTTGTCAAACTTGTCTTTGATGATGAGTCCCAGAGGGACTGGCTAGGTTTTCAGGAAGAGCTACCAGAGGAGTCAGATGTTGTCATAGAGGCGATACTTGCAGATGAAGGAGGAGGGCAAAGATATGGCAAAGACCAAGAGAAGGCAATTCAGCTATCTGATGAGGGTGTACGACCCCTTTGCAGGAGGGAGAACCTAGAGGGGAAATGAGTGTCACTTGGCATTGAAGGCCATTGTAACTAGCAATAACTTATCAGTAAAATTTCATTAATGTTGCTCTGAATGAACATGAACACACCTTGTCACCCTGCACAGATGTGGAGTCCATGTTGATGTTGGGGTACTCATCACCACCAGTCTGCTCATCCCCAAACCCCAGCATTGCCTCATCAAACCCAGCTCCACCATCTTCTTCACCTTCATTAGTGACTTCACCACCAGCTTGAGATGGCACATCCTCCTCAGCTTCCTCAAGTTCCCCCACTGTCCCCCCCATGCCCATGCAATCACCTGCAATCTCAGCCTCAGAACCTGAAATGTTCTTCATACCAAGTGTCTTGTTTTGGATAACTGCTAAGAAGCCCTCTGCATGGTTTTTGTTCAGCTCAGAATTGAAGGGCTCAGGATCGAATGATGGGTTCCCCTGCCAAATGGAATGTAAGTCATCATACCAAGGAAAACTGTTGAGAACAACATCTGTATGTGCACATAAGCCCCTGCATTCTTGTACATCAGTCATGTAACATACCATGAAGGTTGGCAAATTTTGGATGGCCAGGTATGATGCCTTCCCCTGACTGTTTGAATCATGCATGGCACTTTTGATAGCTCACTTTCAGCCTAGATGATCATTAGTGAATCCTGGGTTTATCAGATGATCAGAGACTCATATATTGAGACAGTGTGAGTCAAAGTGAGGTTCAGTGGTGAAAACCAACCAAAACCAACACAAAAGACAATGAAAGTGAGTGGTGGTGTGCCTATGCAGTACCTAGATGGTAGAACCTGTTCTTTGGGAGGGTTTTTGTGAGCTACAACACTCAAAGATGAGTGCTGAGGGTTGGGGGTGCTCCTGACGAAGAGGGAGCAAGAATGTGATAGAAAGCGATAGGGTAGACTGCTGTCAGCCCACAGAAGGATGGATGGTGACTTAATTCAATGTCCTAAGCTGCACTGAGCTCAGGGAGGGCTTGGGGTGAAGTATATGGATGATAGATGATGATAAGCAAAGTAGATGATAGCTAGACCCTTAATAAAGTCTCAACTATCAAAGCTGATGAATGATTTACTGAGAGATGATAAATTGTGAGCAAGAGGGGCTCTCTGATGTCTTCTTTTTTTGCTACCTAAGTACAGTGACTTATATGCAGTACAGGGGTGTTGCCTATGGAAAACAAGGTGCAAACACCTGGTAAGCAATTGGTAACTGATGAGTAAGGAATGTAAGCAATGGGTAATCATCTTGGAAAGCATTGGTAAGCATTGGTAAGGATAAGTAAGCCAAAAAGTGAAGAATCAGTAAGCAAAGTCAAAAGATTGGTAAGTATTGGCAATAGGTGAGTCAAAGACAGTCAGAATGTCAAAGTATGAGTCAAGCAATGTCAGGAACCAAGAAAGCGCACTGGAATCACATTAGGGGGAGGCTGTGCATGTCACATCTTGAAGAGATCGCTTCTAGGCCAAAGTGGGATGACAGAGAGGCAGTGCTGATCTGATGCCGATATAGTACATCCAAAAGCAGACAGGGTGAGTCAGATGTCAACAGGGGTCAAGCTTTGGGGGTCTGTGGGGTGACAGGAGCATAGGGGATTGCAACTTTCCCCCCCAAACCATCCTCTCAGTGAAGCAAATAAAAACTTCATGAACGAGGCTCTGTTGGAAGAGAGGATGAAGGGGGAGCGTCTTCTGCTGTATCTTGCAACAAGGAGGCAAGATGTGCATCATACTCGTCATGGATGCGATCAGGAAGAGTGGAGAACAGTAGATTATACTGTAGCTGTCGCAATTTTGGAAGAATGATGGACGAGACTGTTATGAAGATGTTGCAGGGGGCAGGGAGGAAGGATCCATATGCTTCTTGGACTGGAGAGACTGAAACGACCACATAAGACCTTTCCAAGCGAATGACAGACCTGAGGCAACCAAAGAACGTCCTCCTGGAGGTCATACTGACAAAAAGAACACGCTGTCCAAGCTGGATGGGCTGAGAGGGGGCAGATGAGGGTGGGATGTACCAGGATGCTTCAGGACGGAAGCTGGTAGGAACTCCTGGTAGATATATGTAGCCATGGTCCCTAGCAAAGGGGACAAGCGAAATGACTGATGTGGAGGCAGCCATATCAGAAGAATTAGCAAAATGAGTGTCTTTTGGAGGGAGTGCTGTAGAAACGTGTGGAGTGCACAAATCCTTTCCAATCTTGGAAGGTAGGATTGCGTGGCTGAGCACTACAAGCGAGTGTGGGAATGGTTTTGGTGTCTGCAGAATTGGTGGAGATATGTCAAAAACTGGAATGCTGTACATGGGCGCTTAAGAACTTTATTGGCGCTTAACCTGCCTCCTCCTTTTTCTTTGGCACCGACAACCTGTTCTTATGCGAGGGATGACTGCCGACATTGCTGGCTGTCCTTCTTCGCATGAGGGCTATGGTCTTCACCTCCATTCATCAGCTACATCCATGTCCACCTCACCAAACACCTTTGGTGTGTGACATCATGAGTTGCATAGTCATCAGGGTTGGTGCTCATCAGGACATCTTCTAAGTGTGTTGGGTGTTGAGAGTTATGAATGTTCAAGCTCAAAGGTTGGAGAGACTCATGAAGGTGGACTAAGTTATTGACCCAGGTATTGCACCCAGAGGATGGCTGGCTCATGTGCATTGTAACAGCGCTGTGACTCTGGAAGCCACCTTTACCACAACTTGGACAGCGGGGCATACTCTAGATGGTCAGGCAGGCCAATTCCGTGTTACATGATTATCACTTCAGTGCAAATCAGGACATTGTTCAGATCACTACAGAGTGTATTTCTCATATACTACCCAATCACATCCCATGCATGAACATAGTCGCTCATGTCCATTTATAACCTCAATCACACACACCTTCATGCTGGATCAACCATGCCCATGGTTGAGCATTGCCCGGGCAGCAAAGGACTGCCCTATAAGCCTCGTGATGGCAGGTTCTCTTCCTGCAACAGTCCCTCTAGCAGTGCCAAGGTCAAAGTGGAGATAACTGGTGTCTTAGCTGAGATGTATGGAATATTGGAGTTGTCCACTCACACAGTAAGTTCTTTTTTTCCTTCCTAATAACCACTCATTGATAGGTTTTCAATCTGCAGCATGAATCAAAGAGTCAGCTGAATCACAAGGCACTTCTCCTTCTCAATGTAGCACATGCATAACACAAAGTCTTTCATGCAGAACAAGCTCTGGCCACATGCATCGCCCACAAATATGAATCAATGGCCAAGTTGTACAAGTATAAGGCAGGCAGCGGCAAGGCAAGAGTCCACAAAAAAGATATGGAGGTCAGCTCATTATGTGTAGCAATGAAAAAATGCAGACTGGGAGAGCCTATTTTCAATGTTAGTGTTCTGGCCAGTGAGCTGCAGCCATCTCTCAAGTCCAATGGTATGCTATGCTCACTCTTTTCTTTTGGGCCACTATTTTACTTATGCCAGATCTTGAAAGGCACAGTTATTGAGCATGCTGGTAGTCAAATACTCACCATTCATCTAGACTAGTACTATCCATTACTTTCCTGTACTTATTGAAAAATGCTGGATGTTATGTCTGTGTGTTGTTGCCTTCATGCATAGGAACAAAGTTAGATCTACCAAGTTCTCTACTACAGTGGGAATCTAGGTTGCTGTATTAGCTAGGTGTGTCTGTTCCCTTGTATGCTAGGTAGCTATTGGTCTTTGGATTGCTGGTATCACTGGTGTGGCTTACTCAGGTGCTATGAGTTGCTTGGATGCTGGCCACTACTTTGGGCAAGTCTGGTGTAGTCTACTCTGGCACTATGAGTTGCTAGGATGCTTGACATTGCTTTGGACTAATATGGAATTGTGCAAATACTATGGGCAGCCATGAGTTACTAACACATTTTTGTGTTTTGCTGATGTTCTAGCATTGCTGAACTCTTGGGAGTACCTTCTGTTACGCTTCCGCCAAGGGTCTTTCCTTTTTCGGTTCCTCGCGGTCACGTGCGTCACGTGCCTCGTTGCGTCTCTTGTAGTCGTGGTCGTCCTAGGGGTTCGTATGTTAGAAGGATGCCTCGGATCTCAGGTTGTCCAGGTATTTCCAATACCTGTCAAGACTCGTCACCCTTGATCCGAGACACTGCCCACTGTGGACGACTTGTCTGGTTGCTGTTCCGTCCCGTTCTCTTGTTCCTTCTTTGTTGCTTACTTGTTGTACTATAGTTCCGGTGTCTGGCTCCTCGCTGTGCATTGATTGCGCAGCCGGTATAGCCTTCGTTTCCATCTCTACCCCCATCTCTGACACCGGATGACTCGTATTTATTTCAGTGATTAGTTTGTTGACTGCTGCGGATATGCATCGCGACGCGTCTGTCGCAACTGGTACGGTACTCTCACTTAGGGGTATATAAACTCCCGTACTTTACCATGTATCCTCAGTTTTTCGATAGCTTGCAACTGAGCTAATTACTTTGCTTCAATCCTCGTCTTCTCTCCGCGCGAACAACCTCAGGGACTCGCCAGCAGACAAGACCTCTGTTGGATCTTCGCAATAACTCAGCCATAGGGGTTACGACAGGTTCGGCCCGTAGACTCCCACCTCGTGCGCTTCGTGCCTATTCCATTTGAAGAAGTCACCGCACCTGGGCATAACAAAATTGAAAAACTCTACGCAGCTTTCAGGACTCGTCGACTTCTTCACGAAAGTCCACTCGTCCCTGGTTACTGAACTTCAACAAACACAACCAAGGCTAGTCGGTCTCCCTACGTGTAAAGACTAACTCGCCTTCGCCTCTCGCTTCTCAACTCGACCCTAACAAAAGTCAATAACAAAATTGAGAAGCACCCCTCCACCCTTAACCAAATCCACTGCTCTACAGGCAGCCACTAGGCTTTAATAGATCGCCTCCCTGGAGTTCGCACTCGTGATTCCCTACGCGTAAAATCACTCGCGCACCGTTTACAACCCCTCTACGCTGACAGGTTTCTTTCGAGAAGTAAATCCTCCCTCAGCCTTCGTTGTCACTATCCGTCAAAGTGTCAAATCCTTCGAAGTCGAGACCTCCTGTCCCTCCAAGAACTACCCCGCTAGGACTAGGAAGGAACCCGCCTTTACCGCCGATACCAGGAAGACTTGGGCCGTCAGCCACAGCAAGTAATCCCCGGTTATCTTATCTGTCCCATTTTAGGGAATCGGAAGTCGCACTTAGTTCAGAAGAAGAAGACAATCAGAAGTCTGAGACTTCTTTCGGATCAGTCCTCAAGGAAGAACAGGAAGCACACAAATCACCCGTTATGTCCATGACAATCGGTCACGGAGAGTCAGCCCCTGAGATGCTGCCGAAGGTATACTCCGAAGCGGAGCTGAAGGAAAGGTTGGAAAGACAGATGCACTCTTTGGCAGAGGACTGGCGCAAGATTGCTGGTCAAGGTCAGTCGAGTGATCCCTTCCCAACAGGAACGCCTACGGACTCAGCTCTACGAGCTTGGTACGCCAGGAACTTCGGAAAGGTAATTCCCCCAGAGGGCCCCGTTGGTGGGCCCAGTAAGGGTAAGGCCTCAGCCAAAGACGGCGATGACTCGTATGATGTCTGCCCACCCAATGGAGGAAGGGAGTTTAATGTCGGGCGTCCTGGAGAATACGACAGAAGCCACAATGGGCTTCAGACTTGGGTCACGCAAGTCGAAGGTTATCTTAACCTTAATAAACATGTCTACAACACGGAGTCGCTCAAGATTTCCTTCACCCTCATGTATATGACGAAAGGAGCCGCCGTATCATTCACCGAAAATTATCAAAACGAGAATAAGCTCTTAGACGGGACCGTCTGGTATTCTGACACCTTCCAGAGGTTCGTCGAACGTCTTAAGGCTACGTTCGAATCTGGCGATCAGACTGCTCTCGCAATCCTACGGCTCTCCGACATTTCGCAAGGAAAAAGGGAACTCGAAGCGTATATTGCCGAGTTTACCGGACTTGTCAACAAGGCCCAGCTAAAAGAAGAGTCACAAGAAGCAGGGATCTTCTTCGGGAAGGGACTCAACAAGGAATATCGCAAATGGGTTCTCAATTTGGGACGCACGCCTTCCACGGTGATCGAGTGGATCCAGTGCGTGGGAGAAGCAAGAACCATGATTGCAACAAAGCATATCCTTGAAGGGAAGGAATCCCAGTACGAGCGAAAGTTTATCCACTATCGTGGAGGTTCCCGAGATCCTGATGCGATGGACGTTGACAAAAGAAGGCGAAACGTACGCCGATCAAACGATGATGTAATGTGCTTCGAATGCGGAGCAAAGGGTCACTACAAGTGTGACTGTAAATCCCGGAAGCCTGATAACCGCCCCGGCATACGAGTTGTCCTCAATGACAATGGATCTAAAACTGCGTATGTGGGAAATCGTCTCGCCACAAGTGAGGAAAAGAAAGCCTATGGGATGGATTTTTAAATGGGACTGCCCAGACTCCTACGGCAGGTCCCATTTCTGTTTTGTCTGCAAACTGTACTTCTATAGATGACGAATCAACTATGCATGTTGGGTCTCCTCTTGGAAGGGCATGGTTGCCAGACTACTTGGCAGGAGTAATGGTCTGCATCGACTCCAGTGCAGAGGTGTCGCTCATTTCAGAGCGCATCGTCAGTCAACTCAAGATCCCCTCCTATCGCGTCAAGTCTCGGTTCAAAACTACGTCGTTCACCGGGAAGGATGTGGAGTGGATCACCCAAAAAGTGTCCATACGAATAATTGTCAAAAACCGTGTTATTCGGGTCAAGTGCTACGTCGGACCCCTTGTCAGAAAAGAACACATTCTTCTGGGAATGCCCTTCCTTCGGACTTACAAACCCTGGATGAATTGGGAAAAGAACCTTATCACTTGTTGGGAAGATGGGTTTGTTCCTACTAGGGAAACTGACATCTTTATCAAGGGACACGTACCCAGTTGCAAGGGGTACGCGGTCAAGTTTAATAAAGATGGTTCCGTAAAGGAACCCCGGGTAAGTGAAGTCGTAGTTAACAAGACGACTTTATCTACAGAACTCGAGGCTGCCCTATCCTTGACTAAGGAGGAGGTTAAACTTCCAGGGGAATATCAAGAATTCGTAAAGGTCTTCTCTGAAGAAGACATACCGCTACCGGTCCATCGCCCAGGGTTAGACCATGAAATACAACTTCGGGACGATTTCAAACCGAAGAAATCAGCGGTATACCCTATGTCACCAGAAGAGCTCAAGGTCCTAGATGAATTTCTTGATGAAAACTTAAAGTGCAAGAAGATTCGACCGTCAACATCGCCTCAAGCAGCACCGGTGTTCTTTGTGGCCAAGAAAGATGGGAAGAAGCGACTAATTCAAGACTACCGCTATCTTAATTCCTTTACGATACCGGATGCGCATCTGTTGCCCAATGCTCAAGCACTGTTTGACGAACTCGTCGAATCAAAGTATTATGCCAAATTTGATATTCGTTGGGGGTTCACTAATCTTAGGGTCAAAGAAGGAGATGAGTGGTCAGGAGCTTTCATTACCCCTCGAGGCTTATTCGAACCCACGGTAATGTTCTTCGGACAGTGTAACTCACCCCCTTCCTTCCAGAGATATATGGACCGAACCTTCAAATCTCAAAGAGGAAAGCAGGTGGGGTATATGGATGACGTCGCCATCCACGCAAAAACCAAGGAAGAACTTCAGACTCGGGTTCGGGAGTTCTTAAGGATCTGCCAAAGGGAAGGACTTCGCCTCAAGATCAGCAAGTGTGTCTTCGAGGCCGAAGAAATCGAGTTTCTGGGAATGATTATCGGGAAGGGTCACATGGAAACTTCGCCAACAAAGACCGATGCGATCGGTACCTGGGAAGCCCCAGAAAACCTGACTGGCCTTCGCCGGTTCTTGGGATTCTGTAACTTCTACCGAAAATTCATCCCTTCCTTTTCAAGTGTCGCCAGACCTCTCCATGACCTGACGAAGAAAGGGATGTCCTATCAATGGACTGAAGAGCGTAATAGAGCTTTTGAACACCTTAAATCATTGTTATGCTCAGCTCCAGTCCTTGCCATCCCTGACTTCTCCAAGCCCTTTGCGCTCTTTACCGATGCTTCAAAACTCGGGACCGGCGCGGTTCTGGCTCAAAAAGGAACCAACAACGAGTGGCACCCTTGTTCTTACTTGTCTCAATCGTTGGTCGGAGCGGAGCAACGTTACCAGGTCTATGACTTGGAAATGTTGGAAGTAATCCGGGCTCTCAAGGCTTTCCGCCCATATCTCCTCTCTCCAGTTGAGCCCACGGTCATTTTCACCAACCATAAGAATCTGGAGTACTATCGCGAGCCGCAGCAGGCGCAATGGGCCGCCACTGTCCAATCCTACCCTATCCGGTTCTCCTGGCAGGCAGGTCGCCTACAGGTCCCCGCCGACACTCTTTCCCGCAAAAACGAAACTGAGGAGCCCGCTCCAGTTGCCACGGTCCTCCCTTCGGACCTTTGGCTTGATGGGGGGGTGGATTCCCAAGTTCGTCTGGTATCACCGACTTTTTCATTAACAAAA